AAGAAAGAAAGAAAGAAAGAAAGAAAGAAAGAAAGAAAGAAAGAAAGACTCTCAGTGTGGACTTCGAGCCCTGCTGTAACAGTGGGATGACTTGAACTTGACCTTTGGAAGAAGACATATTTATAGCTCTAATGTAGAAAAGAATAGACAGGTAACACGGCCTTGCCTCAAGGTTCTTCCAGAGTTCACCTTACAGACCTCAAGGTTAGGCTGGAACACCTACAGCCCACGTGATCAGGGCCAAGGGTTAATAACAGGAAGGTGATGTCTGGGCCAGGAAGAGACACTGAGCTCAGTGGTTTTCAAACTGATTGCCAAACTGCCCTGTTAGGTGCTGCTGAGGGCTTTGGGAGAGTTAGAGAAATGTGGCCCAAGACAGCTTCCCCCAGGCCCTTTCTCCCTTTCATCCTATGAGGACATCCCTCGGTCTTACTTCGTTATGAAAGTTGTGGGGCAACATCTTATTTAACGAGCTGTTTCCTCCTCCGACCTCCCACTTCAATCATGCAGTAAAAAGCAACTGAGGTGTGTTGGCGCTCACCCAGTGATCCCTCAGGCAGGAGGATTGTCAGTTTGAGTTCAGCAATACTCGCTCTTGAGAATGACGGCGAGGGACATAGCTCGGAGGTAGATGCTTAAAACTAAGCAAACTGAGCCGATCTACTTTGTCCTTTGCATCCTCTAAAACGAAGGCCTGCAGGAGCCAGAAAGGCACATGGACTCCCCCAAGGTCACACTTTGTTTTGACTAAAAGCCATTTCTGGTGTCCCTCCTCTGAAATCCTGGGCAGGCTGCCAGATCTGCCGGGCATTCGCCTCTCTGCTGTCTGGATCAGACACGCCGACCTGGGTGAACGGCCTTGGCATTTAGGACTCCTGGGTTCATGACTAGAAAACAAAACGCTGCTCAGATATTCTGAATGGAGTTGAGTCAGGAAGCCGTACGAACTGGCCTCTGGCTGTCTCGCTCAGGCGGCCACTCTGGTCCCTTATCACTTTCTGATTCACTCACTGCAGCTTTGCAGAAGATGGGCTACCTGGAAACACCAGCAGTCCTCCCTCCCCTGCCCGCCTGCATCACCGTGATGGGAACCCTGATGGAGGAGATTGTGCCTTTGGAGAATTCAGGGTCACACAGGAAAGATGTGATTAGGAAAGGTGAGATCACAGAAAGAAAAAGCCAAAATGCCCTAGGAAAACACGAGCAATCCATAAGACAGACTAATGAGAAAAATCAATGACATTTGGCAGTCTGGGATAATGCCCGTGGGAGTAATTTCCATTTTATCGCTCTTATTTCCCAGACAGACATTCTTATTTGGCTGTGTGACAGTTGATATGCAACTAAAAAGCATTCGGCTTTTGTCTTAATAACAGAAAAAGACCTAACACGTATGAAACTGGAAGGGACAAAAAAATAAATAAATAAAAAGTAAAAACCTAAAATTCTTTAGAAGGAAGTCACATGCCAAGGACAAACAGAGGTCACATGCCAAGAACAAGCTCTCAAACATTTTAAGAGCTGTTCTCCATCAACCCACATGTCCATGTTTAGGACTACCTCCTTCTTGTCTGTAACATGGCATGTTAAACTTTGTCTCCTAGACCCCAGAACACTGCCCAAGCACCTGGGCTAAAGGGTCCCTTACATCTGGTAAGCTGGGGACAGGGAAGGAGAGATCTGGGACGAAGACTCCTTTCTCTTAGCTGTTGCCCCTCTTCTCACACCCACTCCCTTAACTCATCAGCTCTATTTCTAGCTCTTGTTCTTGTCTCTGTTGTGGTTCCCGGAGGAAACCAACACACACCCGAGAAATGGAATTCTGCTTGTCTCCTACACCATAGTAAAGCTCTAATATCTGTGTAAGTGTGAATGAGCGTGCATCAGCGCCATGGTGGCCGTGTGGAGGTCAGAGGACAATCACGAGCATCGGTCCTCACCTTCCACCGTGTTTGAGACCGCATCTCTTTGTGGTCCACTGCTGTGTGCTGGTCCAGGAGCTTCTGAACTCTCCTGTCTCTGCTTTCCATCTTACTGCAGGAGTGCTGGGGTTACAGATGCCAGTGGAGCGCTTGGCTCCATGTGGGTTCTAGAGACCTCAGCTCAGGTCCTCATTCGCACAGCCAATGCTTCATCCACTGAAACACAAAGATTCTTTTTATAAAACGATAATCATTCACCATGTTACTTGGGTACGTGTAACTCAGACTTCAGTGGTAAAATTTGGCTGTCAAGTTAGTTTTGTGCCCAGAGATGTTATCTGGAAAACTCCTGTTGTGCGATGTTGGCCTTCTTCAATTCTTCCTAAACTCACTTTGAAGTAAATTTCACCCCCACGAGTGAGGACCACTCCCCTTTTAACCTACAGGATGTGCCACTGTTACTAGGAAGCATATTCAGGGTGATCCTTGTGCACTCTTAACTTGAGACTGAGCCCTCTAACTAACCATGACTGGTGACGCCAGATCTCCTGGTGCAAAAGGCATTGAACTCCCCCCGCCCCAGGGTTCCAGGGTGCTGTTGGGGAGACTGAGATGCTGGAATAAAAACCAGAGCCTCTCCGAGAGAAAAAGAAGAAAAATGCATACGTGGCAGAGGGCCAACAGTATCGAATCTAGCTATATTTGTACAACTTTCAAGGTCAGCTTTATTTTAATGCCTAAAATACAAAAGTATTGTTGGCTGTTTCCAAGTTCTCCAAGATACCAACCCTTGAAAAATTTATTTCCTCCACAATTCCTCTCAGCAGATGAGAATGCCTGCCATACCTGCTCTCTAGAATATCTCCAGGTCATGGTGTAGCTTCTGAACCTTAAAGACAGGCAGGTGAATGTCTCAAAAACAAATGCAAATGACTTTCCCGCCTCATGATTCAAAGACCTCCGACTTGGCAAAAAACAAAATAAGATTGCAGACCTGTAAGTCTTTAGACCTCCCAATCTCACCTGTCCCTGTCCTCCTAATTTCCAGTGTCTGTCTTTTAGCTTTGTTAGTGTGTACGGCTTTCAGTGACATTCAGATTCTCTAGTTTACAAACCTGGCCTCATGTCCTACCCCTGGGACCCTAGCCTTTGGGATGCCTAGGAGGATCGCTGTCAGGTTTGCAGCACCTGTGTGATCTAGAGAGTTCCAGGCCAGCCTAGGTAACATCCATAGTGAGACACTGTCTCCATCAGAAAGGGGCGGGGCTGGGGTGGGGCAGAGATGGAGAAAGAAGTTTTTTGGTTCGCTCAAGAAATGGAAATGTTTTATTGCTAAATTTGCTACTAATGTGCCACATTATAAAAATGTTTATTTTACCTTGGGGTTCTACTTTTATTTTTGTGGCTGTGAGGAACTACTATAACAAAAGGTAAATATGGAGAAAATGGTTTATTTCAGCTTCCAAATGTAGGCTATAACCCATATTGCTGTGGGGTGGTGAAGACAAAGCCAAGAGCAGAGAGAATGAATGTAAGCATCCTTGCCTGCTTATGCTGGCTTCCGTTTCTCCACTACTAAACAGTTCAGAACTCCCTGCCTAGGGAATGGTGCTGCCCACAGTGGGCTTGCTGACCCACCTCGACTGATTAAGACAATCCCACACAGGCCAATACAATGTAGATTGTATTGTGCAATGTACAATAAAATTCCTGGTTGACACTCTCTCCAGGTGAGTCTAGATGGTGACAAGTTGACACATCGGTGACACATTGTATTAAAGTTCATTATCCTCTTCTTCCTGGCACATTCTCCTTCTGCCTGTTCCAGGATAGGCTGATAGCAGAGAGGTGACAATATGGGAGAGCATCTTAACATTCCCCAGTGGTCTAGCTGTATTTGTGACATCATCCCTGTGGTGTGACTTCATTAGTCATATTTAAAAGGGGAACTAAAATGTAGAGACACAGGCTTTTTCTAATGCCCCTGGGAGAGTGAGCTGTTGCTATTGAAACAAATTGCTACTTAGTGGCTTAAGGCAATCAGAACTTGCTGTCTTAGACATCCAGTTGTGAGAAGTCTAAAATGGACCTTTACTGGCTGAAGTCATTGTGCCCAACTTCAAGGGGTCCCAATTCCTTCTGGAGATCTTACTTTAAGCTTTCGGAGAGTGCACAGCTTGCCCCCCTTGGCTCATGGCCCTTCTTCTATCCTTTAAGCTAGCTGTGCAGCATTTCCACCTTGCTCCTTGATTCTGACATTTCTGCCTCCTTCCTCCTTTTTATCTCAAGGGATGGAAATAGAGGCAGTTTATTAAAAAAGAGAAAAGGCAAACCCAGTAGTCAAAATGGGTTCATGATCTTTGATTACAGGCCAAAAAGCCTGGTGCTACACCTTCACTTTATCTTGTGAAGGATCCCTGTGACTACAGAGCCCACGTGGATGATCCAGGAAAGCATTTTCACACACACACACACACACACACACACACACACTTCATCACCTAAGTGTATTTGCAGTGCCCCTTTACTCTGTAACATATTCGTATGTTCTAGTAACTATACCACCGTGCTTAAGTCTGCTTTCACCTGATCTCAGAAACTAAGCAGGGTTAGGCCTGGTTGGTACTTGAATGGGTTGGACGGACATCTTGACCTCCTACGAATTTCTAGCTTTCTATATACACAACATAGGTGCTCCAGTGTTTTTTGTGTGTGTGCGTGGATGTATGGAAGGAGAGGAGAGCTTCTCCTGGTACATCTGCCTTTGATACTACATATTGAATCTTAAAAACAAACAACAACAACAAAAACAAACAAACAAACCTAATGTCTCCTCTGCTTCTGTTCACAAGCTGGGGCTGACGGGTGTTCAGCAGTGACACAGGCTGGTATTAATGAGACACAGTAACAGGAGGAGGCACACCCTGGTGGTGAGTTTCAGGCAAAGCTTTTCCAGATACGTTGAATGAACTCAGGAACTCCTGGCCTTTGTCTTACAGGCTTATGTAGAGAAGCACATTGTGAAGAATTATTTCTACTATTACCTGTTCCGGTTTTCCGCCGCCTTGGGCCAGGAAGTGTTCTACATCACATTTCTCCCATTCACCCACTGGAACATCGATCCTTACTTGTCCAGAAGATTGGTCATGATATGGGTCGTAAGTATTTTGTCCTTATTACTACTTTCTTATCACAGACATATTTAAGGTCCACCTGCCTTGGTACTGAAGTACCTGGCCCAGGTGGCCTTTCTTCCTTAAAACCACTTACAGGGAATTTGCTCTTTCTCTAGTCTAGTTTACAAAAAGCATAAAATGTAAGTGCATCTTGTTTGCAAAAAACAGACCAGCCTGTGACTTCATGTACTTTGATACACCCCTTCCTATAAATAGACAGACAAGAAGAGAGGAGAGGAGAGGAGAGGAGAGGAGAGGAGAGACAATGAGCAGGGAACAAAGGAGCTTCATTAGAACCCTTGTGGGGTATGGGGCAAAACCTTCCCAGAGGCTATATTAGTAAAATTTGATCAAAATCTAACTGGAGGCTGTACACCAGAAATTCCAAGCACTGGAAAGCATCAACCCTGAATACATTGGAGAGATCATAACATCGTAGGCAGAGTGCCTGCCTAGGGAGTAACCAGTTGTGGCAAGTCCAGGTGTAGTACAGCAAGAGCCCCCTCCTGCTGTTTCCTTGGTACCCTATCTCTTGGCCTTGTTTGGGAGAAAGTTCCAGGTCGATGTTTTTGGTTTTTGTTTGTTTGTGTTTCGGTTTTTATTGTTGCTGTTCTTTTGTGTGGGCACGTATGTGTGTGGTATGTGTGTGTGCCTGCGAATGTCCACATGTGTGCAGAGGTACGTGTAAACATAGCGAAACTATTTCCATTTTTCTGATGAGAGTACAAGCCCTTTGTAGATTCTGGCAGTTTCTAAGCAGACACAGATTCTCTCCTAATAATTCATGGGTTTTGATTGGTTCTCCCTGATCGGAAGCGAGTCATGCCCCTGATGAGGGGGAGAAGAGGGTTTGCTTACACCATCACAGTTTGGAGGTCAGAGCAGAGAGGCTCATGGTCCTAAAAGCAACACCTGGCTGGTGTGACATGGGTAGTGTGCTTTTATTTTCAGCTACACAAGGTCGCTCAAATTCACTCAGAGAAGTGGGGTGCGTGCTGAGGGTATAGGGAATCCAGGAGCCACAGCCTCCAAGGATCTACAGTAGGGAATGGTTTGGTTGTCAGGTGTAGCTCAGCTGTGACTGTCCCCTCTTACCTCCTGCTCTCAGCTAGGACTGTTTCAAGACAATCGTATGTAGCTCATCGTATAGTTCAGTCCCATACACCCATCCTTCTCTGGCCAGTCCCTTAGAATGGCCATTCTTGGTGCACACAGCGGTGGATAGGGGTAGGGATGGGTGACTGGCTGGGCTGCCAGTGCCATGGATCAGGCTTTGGAACAAAAGAGACCTGGGTGGCTGTCTTAGTGTGGGTTTTTATTGCTGTGAAGAGACACCATGACCACGGTGACTCTTATAAAGAAAACATTTAATGGAGGGGACTCGCTTACAGTTTTAGAGGTGCAATCAATTATTGTCATGTTGGAGAGAATGGCGGGGTGCAGGCAGAGGTGGTGCTGGAGCTGAGAGTGCTACATCCTGCAGGCAACAGGAAATCAATTGACACACTGGACGGTATCCTGAGTATATGGAACCTCAAAGCCCGCCCCCACAGCGGCAGACTTCCTCTAACTAGACCATACCCACTCCAACAAAGTCACACATCCTAATAATGTCACTCCCTGTGAGATTATGCGGGCCAAATACATTCAAATTACCGCAGTGACGACACCCAGAATTGAAACCTTTTCCAAGGCGCTTAGTGATTCTGGCCTGCGGTCTCCACTGATTTAAGCTGAAAGGACACAGTCAGAGATCCCCGCAGGCTTGTCACACGGTCACATGTGTGCTCCGTAGGTGACATTTTAAAGAGGTCCCTCTGTGGTGTGCAGAAGGAAGAAAAATAGCAAGAACTGGGTGGAACGACATAGAAGGGGTGATGCCTTTGTAAAGTGCTAGGCTGTCTTCACTGATCTTGGTCCTACATTGTGAGACCCCCTCGATAGCAAGCAGGTCCCTTGAAATGAACACTGAATCTAATGTCGAATAATTTGTGGGTTGCCTGCTGCTTGGATGCAGTCCGACTGAAGGGGCAATTTTGAGAAAAGCTTAATGGCTTGGCAAGTGTACACCCTTTTATTATTTGTTTTCTTTCTTGGAGATGCCACAACTTGGCAATAAGGAAAACCAGAAAAGCACAGTGTTCTTTCCAGGGAGCCCTTGGGATCCTATGCTTTCTCATCAGAGAGCTGAAGATGGGGAGCTCGGGTTAAATTACAGTTTTTCTTTCCGTGCTTGATGACTCACACCCCCAACTAGCCGATACCCAGCAGCACAGAGCCGGTCTGAACCCCACGTTTAACTTGCGCTTGCTAGCCTGCTGGGGTCTGACTGCTGTAGGGTGTGGGTACCTTTTTGTAAAGCAGTCCTGCCCATCACTGCAGGGCTGGTGACGCATCTAAAGAGACCCGTGTTTGCGACTGTCACCTGCTTGTCCCACAAAGAAGCTTGCCACCTGCTTGGAGAGGTGTGGAAGAGGGCCTCCACCTCACACCCCCTGGCCTGGGGTCAACTTTGTGGAGCCAAAAGATGACTTGAAATGTGATTATCTCCTAATCCTCTGTTTAAACTGCTCCTGCCCGTCACTTCAAAAGCCTTCTCAGCTTGTTAAATTGGTTCTCACTTGAGATTAATGAGTCTTTAGGCAGAGCCAACAATAGCCAGATGGAAGCCCCCTCTCACTTGCGCGGAATGCAATAGAATTAGGCGTCCGGGATTCTGCCTCTGTCCCTCTGAAGTAGAATCTGTAATTTAGCCTTAGTTAAATATTAAGTAAACGTCTTGATGGGGTTGTTAGGCTCAGTATATTGGTTTTAGTGTAGGCTAACCATGAAAAACAAAAAGCCTTAAAATTGACTCATGTGGTATACAAATACATCTGCCTCTGCAATTATCACATTATCTGAAAGTGATTCCTCTTCGTTCCTTTTGGTTATTGGCACATGTTCACTGTACATAGTGTTGGGTTTCACAGGGACATTTTCGTCTTAGTCTGTAACGTACTTTGATCATGTTCCCTCGGTACGACCCTCCCCTCCCTTTCTCTCCTCCTGCTAGGCCTGCTTTCACATAGCACACAGGACTACCTGCAGGGGGAGGGGGGCACTGCACCCAATGAACCTCCCACACCAATCACTAATAGAGAAAATATTTCCATAGCTTTGCCTACAGGCCAGTCTGGTGGAGGCATTTTCTCAGTGGAGGTTCACTCTTTAGAGCATGCGTCAAGTTTATAAAAAGTAACCAGCACAATGGTATAAAAGCTATAACCCTGGTGCTCAAGAGGCAGAAGCATTGGAAGCCTACACAGTGAGGCGATCCTGGAGAGAGATGAGAGGAGAGGGAGAGGGAGAGAAAGAGAGAAAAAGAGAGAGAAAGAGAGAGAGAGAGAGAGAGAGAGAGAGAGAGAGAATATAAGAACGAATGAGCAACTGGGAAGCATCCTCACCTTCTCCACTATCACTATAACCCTTAACTATTGTTCTACACCTCCTAAGACTCGGATGACAGAGACCTTTGCCCAACTCACCTTGAGGCTCAGGTAGGTATAAAGTTGATAGCGACGTGGAGCGCTGGAGGAAGACTATTTTTAAAAATGGAATAAGGCCAGATCTGCACGAGGATGCAGAGCCTGTACTCTGCCGCATTTTGCTGCCGAGATCTTCACCTCGTCCTGTGGTTTCACTCTGCTCTGTGATGCACTGAACAAGACAGCACACCCCTGTAATCCGAGCACGCATGAGTTTGGGGCCAACCTGGGCTACCATGTAAGACCCTGTCTCCAAAAGATGACACTGAAACCAATGGATGGTGCCAAGTCATATTCACACCCCAAACGAAGGCACATTCTGACCTGGCAGAAGGTTAGGAATCTGTTTCTCTTTTATCGTGGCTCCACCTGCCCACCTCCCCATTACTCCCTCAGCATCTTTATAAAGGTACCATTCTGGACTGGCTTCCCCCAGAGTCTATCCCATTTATTTATAAAACAAAAGGAAGAATCTTAACTAGTCAACAAGCAAGAAAAGTTTGGGTTTTTTCTTTCAAATTTTTGCTTTGTTTTGTTTTGTTTTTCCTTTTTTCTTTTTTTCCAGACAGGGTTTCTCTTTGTAGCCCTGGCTGTCCTGGAACTTGCTCTGTAGACCAGGCTAGCCTAAAACTCACAGAGATCTCCTGCCTCTCCCTCTCAGGTGCTGGGATTAAAGGTGAGTGCCACCACTGCCCAGCTCAAATAAAAATTTTAACAACTATTTTTTTTAAAAGACAAATAGAAGACAAACAAACAAAAACCTCATCTGAGCTTGGTGGTGGTGCATTTCTGTAATCCTAGCCCATGGAAAGTGGAGACAGAAAGATCAGAGTTCAAAACCAGACACATGACACTGGTCTCAAAAAAAAAAACTAAATAAATAAATAACCAGTTTTAAAATCTCACCATTTTCTTTAGTAAGCTGTTTTCTTGAGTGGACACGGTTCCCCCAGTAGCTTTTTATCAAGCACCTACTCTGGGCCAAGTACTGTGTACATCCAGAGCCCAGTTTTACAAAGAAAACTGGCACACAAAGAGATGGACCTGCCCAAGGAGATACAGCCACTAAGTTCAGTTAGTAGTGGTCACAGTGGGTCTTACCTCTCAGATCCATGCCTTTCTTCCTGTCCTGTCTGGCCACCTCAGTATACCACTTCAGATGGCTCCTGTAGGTCCTCAGAAACCTCTTTACCATTTTCTTAGAAAGGCTTCCCTTTGGATGTCAGTGTGGTGATTTCTCAGAAAATTAGGAAACAACCTTCCTCAAGACCCAGTAATACTACCTTTGGGTATATATCCAAAGGATGCTCAATCGTGCCACAAGGCACATGTGCTCACCTCTGTTTATAGCGGCACTGTTTGTCATAGCCAGAACCTGGAAACAACCTAAATGCCCCATGATCGAAGGAAAATGATCGATAAGGAAAATGTTGTACATAATACACAATGGAGTAC